TATTTACTCCAATCATATTTATAAGATAGAGAGAAATTTTTTTTGATTTATTATATTATTAATTTTTTATCATAAATTTTTTTATTAATTCTTCATTAAATTTTGGCGAGAGAAAGTGTGTTATTAAAGCCCCCACACTCACACTCACACATATTTAATAGGGATAAATTTAAAAATTTATTAAATTTTTAAATAAAACTAATAAGTGTTAAGTTTTTTTAATTTTAATGAAACATGTTAAAAGTAACTTATAAATAGTAACATATGTGTATATTTTAATTTGGAATAATGAGACTTTTAGTCCCTCTTGTTTACCTTGATTATTGATTTAATTTTTTAAATTCAATTTTTATTGATTTAATTTCTTATCTTTTCTTATATTATCATGTGAATCCTTTAAATTTTAAAACATTAATTGACTTTCAAAATAATTAAATATGTAAAGTATATTGATGATTTATCATGTATATATGTAACTAAATGAAAACAAATTGACCATAAAATTAACTTAATTTTTACTAATATAATCTATTACATTGTGCTATATTTTTTTGTTTTTTAAATTTTCAAAGCCTGTTTTTTTCTTTCCTATATAATTATATTTATTTTCACCAATCAACATGACTTCCATCGATATTTTGTTATTTATATTAACAAATTTTAATAGTATAATTTTTTTAAACAACAAAGATCAAATTAATAATTAAATTAAATTTAAAAAACTGAATTAATAAAAATTAAATTTAAAAAATTAAATTGATAACTGAAATAAAATTAAAAGTTACATTATCTTTTTTAAATTTTTATTTATATTGTCCACTCACGTCACTATCTACACTAAATTTTCCCCCCATGAAAAACACAGTGAGTCATAACACAATTAATTGTCAGGATTGAGATGCTTTCATGAACGACAACGACCATGGAAGGCAGGGGCATGAATCAGACGACGTACTTGGAAACCGCGTGGATGTATCAGAAATTCAACCCTTGCAAGTCAAGGACTCGGCTTCCCCGTGAGGATTTTCTCCTCCTTATCCTGATTTAATATGGATGAATCAAAATTTAACGTTTTCATTTTTATTTTATATTTATTAAACTAAAATATTTTAATAATCTGTCCATATGTTTGGACGTTCCAAATTTAATATAAATAATTTAAATTTAATATTAGAGAAAATTAATTTTTCAATTCTTCAACTTTTTATTCATTTATAACTCAATCTTTTAATTATGATTCATTACGACTCAATCCCTTAATTATGATTTGTTATGATTGAGTACATCAACTTTCAACTCACTTATAATTCAATTTTTATTTTTCAATTTTTTAAAACTATCCTAATCAAATAAAAGAGATAAAAGAAGTGCTCATATCTTATTCTTATATACCCTTCTCTTACTTTTAATATAAGATTTAAGTTAACATGAAAAAATAGAACTAACAAAAATTCAAAAATTGAGGTATAAATAAGTAAAAGTTAAGGGACTGAGTCGTAATGGTTATAGTCAAAGAATTGAATTACAAGTGAGTTAAAAGTTAAATAACTAAAATATTAATTTTCTCTTAATATTAATATTTTATAATTTTTATAAATTAATTATCTAGATATATTTTGGACTATACACATTTAATATTAGATTTTGTTATAATTTTTATAAAATTTTTAATATTAAATTTGAATTGTTAAATTAGTGATCAAATTTATTAAAAAAATTATAATTTTTATAAATGTTTTATTTGATGCATATAAAATAAAATTTTAAAATATTAAATTTGAATGGTCGAAATTTTTTCTCAATGCTGACAAGGCAAACCTCAGGCGAGGAAAGTAATTCCAATAAAAAAAATAAAAGAAAAGAAAACGTGTGGCCCGCTCCATGCAAATAACACCAACGCGTTTTTTTCAATTTAGATTAGATCTATGTAATTTATTTTATTTTAATTAAAATTTTATAATTTAAATTATTAGATATGTTAATTCTTGAAGATTAAAATTATTAATTTTTTATGACACAAATATTTTTGAAGTTTATAAAAAATTGGTTTAATATTTTTATCTAAAAAATTTCGATTTAAAATGTTTACATTTTAATTAAATTTTTATTAAAATTATATAAATTATGTAGAAGATATAACTTAATTATATAATTTTGAATTATAAAATCTATATAATTAATTCTAAAGATATATAACCACATAATAAGAATATTAAATTTCTTAATTTCAATTTTTAAAAAATTCAAATATTTTAATAATCATGAAATTAATAAATCTAATGGATTAAACTACAAAAGCTTGATTAAAACAAAATAAATTACATAGACTTAATTTAAAATTGAGAAAAATTATAAGGACTTACATATTAATTTTTCCTATAATACATTAAATTCACTAATAATTTTTGAGCTGATAATTTAGGTGAGCTAGGCATAAGCATAAAATACCCAAATATTTTAAAAAACTCATATGGTAAAGCCTGATTATAACACCTTAAGCTTATTTAAGATAGCTCGAATACTTAAGTTCTTATATATTACTCTCTCTGTTCAAAAATATAAGGCATTTTTAATTAAATATCACCCCCAAATAAAATTATTATCTACTTTCAAACTAACCCTATCTTTTCATATTAATTCCTATTAAACACCCTACAATAAATATAAAGTTATTATTAATAGGAGTACTTTTAAAAAAAAAAGGCAATGGTTACACCTTAAAAAACTAAAAATTCCTTACATTTTTAATATCTAACTCCTTAAAAAGTGCCTTACATTTTTAAATAGAGGAAATACATTATTTTATTTATTTTTAGTTGATTTCAATTTTTATATTAAAAAATTAATATTTTCCAAGAACCACAATACAATGCACCCTTTTCCATTCTTATTAAAGTGAATTCGAGCACTACGAAAAGTAAAAATGAAAGCATATAAATTAACCTCTTATGTTTATTTTTTAAAATATTTAAAAAGTATTCAAAACAAACAATTATTAGAAAAAAAATTATTAGAACACTAAAACTTCATTACAAAATTATATCATACTTGAGTTGCAGATGCTAGTAGCTCTTTACAAAATTCTTTGTGGCTATATTTACACCTAAATCCTTACTTGTAATTTAAAAAATCTTAGTTAGTATTAATTTTACTATAGAGTTCTTGTTTATAATTTTTTGAATCCTTTTCTATAATTTTTTAGGTCATTTTTGTAATATGTCAATTAACAATAAATTATTTTTTTATTGACAACATATTAGATGCATCATTTTTAAATATTAAAATAAAAATTACATCATAAATAAATTTTTGGCACATTGGTACCCAACACTTTTGAATGAATAACTGAGGGGAAAAAATGCCCAAAAAAAATATGTATATTTAAATTGTTTTCATTGAAAAGAAAAGATAATGAATACTACTTCATTCGTTCAAAAATATAAAATATTTTTTAAAGAGTTGGATATTTAAAAATATAAGATATTTAGTTTTTGGAGGTATAATCAATGTTTTTTTTTTAAATGTCCTTATTGATGCATAATTTTATATTTATTGTAAGGTATTTAATAGGGGTAAATATAAAAAATAAAATTAATTTAAAAATAAATAATTATTTTATTAAAAATAAAAATTAATTAAAAATATTTTATATCTTTAAATAGAGAAAGTAACAAGGAATCTCACCAGGAAGAAAACATGTTGAATGTCTTATGCCAGAACACAAAAATTCAACTTTTAGCCATTATTTTGACTTTGGATTCAGGCACCCCAAGGGGAAAAAAAAAAGTATCTTAACTGTAGACTAGTGCCCACACCAAGTCAACAGTCAACGCTGACGCTGTCTATCTCTTTCTCTCGCACACAATATTATAAGAATGGAAATAATTTAATTTAGGTTTCCCAAGAGGCACAAAATATAATATATTTTAAATGAGACTTATTTTTCATTGATAAATCATGTTATGTATGACTTGCTATGAATAATGTGAGATAATCTAAGCTTTATTGTATATTTTGATTTATTTATCTACTTACACTTAAAAAAGACTATTGTCACAAAAAAAGTGTGATTTTTTGAAGTATATATAATATTTTCTTGTTGAAAATGATTTTATTAGAAGCATGATCATATATTAAATGTGAAAATATTTTTTAACAGGGATTAAATATTCTTTTCTTATGTTATGAAGTATTAGCTATTTTGCTAAACTTTATTATGAGTTAAAGTGTAATTGTTGGTGGGAAGAAACATATTCAAATCAAGTAAATTTTTTAAACAACTAAAAACATAGAGTTTCGTTTACCCAAAAAACAAACAAAACAAAACATAGAGTTTTGTTTTTTTTTTCTTTGGTCTTATTATATAGCAAATTTAAGACACGCCTGGGAACTAAACTCGAATCCAAAAGGGCGAAAAATGATTGACTTATTAAACAAAAAAAAAAGAAATATGTAATTAAAAAAAGGGTTATTAAACATATTAATATCCAGACTTAACTAACCTCATTTTTTTTCTTAGTTAGAAACAAAAGACCAAGGGAGGGGGGGACATAATATAAAAATCTAAGTTAACCCACCAAGTTAGACCGATAAATTATTAAAATTAATTTAATAAAATACTTTATTTGTAATTAATGTTATTAAAATTTAATTATATTTTAATCATTGATTATTAAGCTAGTATTTTATAGGTGATATTTTAATTTTCAATAGTATATGGAGAGAAATGAACATGATCATTGATCAGTCGCGGCTCTAAGTCTACAGCAAGCTTGCGCAAGCATTCTGAATATTATATTATGATTTTCTAGAAACAGTTAAGTCCAGACAACAGGATACAATTTTTTAAATCAAACACAACCAATGAGTACAAGTTTATCATTGGCTCCCGGCGGCGAGACCTTCTACGAAGAAGAGCCTTTGACGCTGATTGGCTGAAAGCTGGACCTGAAACACTACAAATGTCAAATTTTAGTTGTTGTTAAACTGGTTTTATGTAGTTTGTTTCAATTTCTCTGAAGCTGATAATTTCAAATCCCAGAAAGCCCAGTAAGAAGATAGAGACATTTCCCTATAATAACCCATATGGGCATTACCTACAAGCAACCTTGAGTTCAAGCTTCAAGTTGCTCCTTCTTCCTCCTCCTCCGTCGGAATCCATCCCAAACTCTTCTGAGATTTTGAATATTTTTCTATGGTTTCGTAGAAGGAGAATGGTTGGTGGGATTGGGAATGTCTTGTGTCCGTAGCTGGTTTCAACGTTCAATCGATCTGGCTTTTATTGGTTAGCTCAAAATCTGTTTAGAGTTTTATGAATTCTTGATATCTTTAACCTGTAGAAGTTTCTTATGAATCTCTGACTCATCCCTTCGCTTTATAACTTGAGAATTATAACTTGTCTTCAATTTCTTTTTGTTTGTTTGTCGGTGCGCCTGGGTTTTTAGGTGTAGCTCAGTTATTTAAATATTCGTTTAATAAGCTATTTGTGATATAACTTGGGAAATCTTTTATCTCTGCGCTCAAATAAATTGTATTGTTATATTCTGTGTTTTCTCCCTTTAGGTGATTTTAATACTTTTCTTTGTTTTTGCATAGTTCGTTCATTGAAAGTCAATATGTTGTATAGGAGTAACTAGGAAGAAAACTTCTCGTAGAAAATGTTTGTCTGCAATTACATGAATCTTAACACTTATTTGGTAATATTTTCTATGTACTTAATCAATTAGCTTGTGCTTATGATGAGTCTATTGGTTTTCCTCAACTGTTGCATGGTTTGCTTTTCCTCTTTTATGTTATATACATATAGAGAACCCCTATCTGCCTCTTGTTGATTTCCTCTGATGGTAAAGCACGTTTGAAATTTTAAAAAAGGAAAATAATCTCTTTTGCCATGTTTCAGAGAATTTACCGCTTCAACAAAGGAAAGAGTGATGGAGGATAAGGCAGAAGAAAAAAAGTAAATTACGGCATGCACCATCTTCAGTTGTTGCTGTAGCTATCAATGGTAGCAAGAAAAGCAAAAGTATATTACAGTGGGCACTTAAGAGGTTGTGCCTGAAGGGAGGATCATATTTAAGCTGATACATGTCCATGCCAGTATAAAAGGAGTTCCAACACCAAGTAAATATATTTCCTTTTGTTTTTCTTGTTTCTATTACCTTAAGGGAAAAATCAGTTTAATAGTGTAGAAATTTATAATGTTACTAATTTAAAGCTTTTTATATAGTCTAGAAATAGAATTTATAATTCAAACAATTAATGCTAAAGTTACACTTATATCTTGAAGCAATCTGTATATAGAAGGTTTGATCTATTTGTTAAAGTCTAAGTTTTGAAATATATTGTAATCTGCATTATCATCTTCTCTGCCGTACTCAATCAAGAGGATTTGTTTTTACCTGCCTCATTATTATTTTTTAATATCCACATAAGCATAAACTTTAAAGTCCTTTTCTAAGCCTTGTATCTAATTATCTCCTCCAACCGTTTCAATCTTATGGGCATAGAAAGATGAGTAACTAATTTACCCTACCCTATCACATTGATAATAATAGACAGTTTTCAGTATCAGATGTGATTTCATGGACCGTTGAGTGCCATACAGTGTTTATACATATTACAAAGAAAAGACATTAAAAACAATAACTACCTAATTCTATATGCTAACTGAAAATCTTTTTGTTCCAGTGGGAAATTTCATCCCTATTTCACAAGTGCGTCCTGATGTAGCAAATGCCTTCAAAAAGGAAGTGGAGTGGCAGAAAAGTCAAATGCTTCTACCCTATAAAACAATGTGTGATCAGAGAAAGGTTAAATATCGCATCCCATAGAGATTTAAATTTTATTTAGAATTGTGGCTTCTGACCTGTATCCTACTATGTGGCTGCAGGTGCATGTAGATATGGTGATGATCGAATCTGATGATGTTGCAGCTGCAATAGAAGAAGAAATTGCCAAGGGTGCTGTGACCAAACTTGTTATTGGGGCATCATCTCGTAGCTTATTTTCTAGGTCTATACTTTGACATTCTGATCTGTATTGCAATTAGGCTGCTGTTTTAAGAATCTTCTTAATTGAATTCCTGATTATTATTCTTTATTTTCCATTTTGAATTTTTTAAAACTTCTCCTTCGTTCTTCATTTTAAATTATTTCTTGTTTTCAGCAAGCTTAAGGGTATTGCTGCAAAAATATCAGTTTGTACTCCAAGATTTGTACAGTTTATGCTATTTCCAATGGAGAATTGTCTTCTGTACGGCCGTCAGATGTACAGATTGATGAGAGCTTAGTAGATGACAGTAGTGGAACCAATGATTCCTCCAGTTCATCAAACTACACTTCCACCTCTCCGACAGGTATCCTACCTAGAAGATTTTAGACATTTATTTACTATTAGGATACTTAATGTCTTACAAAGTTTCTAATTACTATGCCTCAAATGATTGTCTTCATCATGCTAAAATTCTGAAATTTTTTTTTCCTAATATCTAAATCTAATTTATAGAAGAACTTGATGACTGAAGGGCACAAGTTATTATTGCCATCATCTTCATATAATAACTCTAGGCACTCACGCCCTGCTAGAACTTTGCTGGTTCAGCATTCGTGTACTGAAGCATATGCTGTAGCTTATACACCTATGTTATATTATGTGGTTGTGGTAGTCATAGGAATTCATGTTGAGTGTTCATGTATGTGCTATGCTAGCATCCTTGGTTTTGATTGCTTGCTTACATTTTCTTTGGAAATCTTAGTTGTGAATTGCATGATGAAGCATCGCCTTCTGTTTTACCTTGCGGTAGAATAACATGATGTTTTTGTAACATAATAATAACAATAATAATAAAAATAAATTTTTAATGCTCTACAATTTTGGTTTTGCAGACTCTGCTACAGTTGCTTTCATATGGTCCTTTAAATTCCACTTTAACGGAGCAGCAATTTCAAGCTCTTTCCTCTCTTAATCAGACCGTCCTAAGTGCAAATCCTAGTTTTATTGAATCTAACCATTCTAGATGCCAGTCCCTAGATATTGGAACAGAGGATAATATTACAAGTTTGTCTGCTAGAAATTCTAGTATTGGTTATGGTCTCTGTCGGGCGTCTACTTGCAAAAGCTTTAAATCAGAAACAGAATCTTGGCTTCATGTTGAAAATTCTACCATCGACGTGCCACAAGAAACTGAATCTCCTTCACCTGCTTGGCAGGTAATCATTTTTTCTTTTTCCCCCTTCTACTTGCTAGAACTAGATTCCAGTTCCTGCTCTAAGTGATGGTGACATCTGGAACTAGCCTTATCATATCTAGAGGTAGTTTGAAAAAATGTGCAATATTTGTTTCATAAATGCTGTCATATGTCATATTTTATGTTGACTTGTGCTATACTTTTTCTGCATCTTGATCCTCTAGAATATGTTGTGCCAAGGCCTGTTTTTGACCAATATGAAATCCTTCAGATGGAATTTTTTTTTTTGAAAATCTACTACTACTTAAAGCGACTACAGGCTGGATGCAACTTTCATTTACAAATGTAGTTATTTATTGTGTCAGTTGTTTGATCAGGAAAATATTAGTCTTGAGCTGGAAAAGTTAAGGATTGAACTAAGACATGCCCAAGGAATGCATGCAATAGCTCAAAGTGAGAACATTGATGCATCACGGAAGGTAATATTAATTTCTTATAGCCTGAAATTATTTGCTTCACTTTTGATTCCATTTCAGCTGGCTAGTAAGTATATGGTTTTTCTAAATTTTTTCCTCCTGGCCACACCATTGTTTTTTCTGAATTGAACTAGGAAATAGGGGGGTCTTTGCAAAAACTTACCCAAGAAAAAAGATCACAGGATTCTAGGAATTGTTCTGTATTTTCTATCTGCTATTCTACCTTTTTGATGCAGTTTGAAGGGAATGTTACATATTATGTTATTTGGTTAGTTTATGAAGTCATTTCAATATGGAATTTAGGGTTCTATTGAGGAATTAGTGTTAATTTATTAGTAAACACACAAATTTACGTGCATTTGTCTGGGTCTTTGGATATCTTATTTAATTTTATTTAATATTGACATTGCTATATCTGAAGAGCTTGACAATTTGAAGTTCTGCTGCTGATGTCTCTCTCTCAATCACCATAAGCACTTTCTTTTATTATCCTTTTCGCTGCTGCCCCTTCCCTTTTCTATAATTGGGAAATTGAGGTTTAAAAACTTACTGGTCTTTGCATATCTTGTCCAGCGTTAAGATTAATGTTTTATTTCCTACCTCATCATGTGTTTTGTTGTCTTCTTTTTCTTACTATGTCCCATCATCTCTGGCCTGCAATTGACAAACGCATTAATATCTTCCATTGGTTTTAGCAGCTGAATGATTTAAATAAGAGACGATCAGGGGAATTAATGAGATTCAACGAGATTATTGCCAAAGAAGAGATGGTAAAAGAATCGTTAAGGAAAGAGAGAGAGAAGTATGAAGCTGCAAAAAGAGAAGCTGATTATTTGAAAGAATGCACTGAAAGAGAAGCTGCAGAACGAAGAGAAATGGAAATGAAAGCTGTCCGTGCTGCACGAGAGAAAGAGAAACTGGAGTCTGCTCTTACTGGTTCGGCGCCTCAGTACCTTAAGTTTACATGGGACGAGATAGTGTCTGCCACCTCATCCTTCTCTGAAGATCTGATAATCGGTATGGGAGCATATGGTAGAGTGTACAAGTGTAATTTGCATCATACTGTTGTAGCTGTTAAAGTACTCCACTCTAAAGGGAGCCACAACAGCAAGCAATTCCAACAGGAGGTATGAAACTTAATAAACAAAACAATAGATATGCAAAATATAGTTTTCTTAATACAAGTAAAAAGCATATTTACATAATGGTATTAGGGAGATCTTTGTGAAACAGGCTACAGATTGCTGGTTGTTTATTTTCGCATTGTTTTTGTTAGGTTGTTTTCTTATGTAAGTAAGATGTTTATTTGTTGAGCTTACAAAATTCAGGTCAACAATATTTACTTGGAAGATTATTCCACTGATTCAATCAAATTAGTACAGGTGGTGAAGGCATGCTATAGCCGACGTCCATGATTTTTCCTTCCTTGTACCACCATTTTCAAAGTGAAATTCGGGCCTTGAACAAACTTTACTGATAATGAGTGCTAAAAAAAAACTCAAAGAAATGATATTTGCAAATGAAAGAATAGAAATTTAGAAATATGCGACTGTGTGATGCATAACAAAACTACTTTCGTGTACTAACATCTTATGTTTGCTTGCAGCTAGAGATCTTGTCCAGAATTCGTCATCCTAATCTGCTGCTCCTTCTTGGTGCATGTCCTGATAATGGATGCCTTGTATATGAATATATGGAGAATGGTAGCTTGGAGGACCGGTTATTCCGGAAAAATGGCTCTGCCCCGATTCCTTGGTATGAGCGGTATCGGATTGCATGGGAAGTAGCCGCAGCCCTTGCCTTTCTTCACAGCTCGAAGCCAACACCCATCATCCACCGTGATTTAAAACCAGCAAACATTTTGCTTGACAGTAACTTAGTGAGCAAGATTGGTGATATTGGTCTTTCTACAGTTCTCAATTCAGATGTCTCCTCTACCATGTACAAGGAGACAGAGCCTGTTGGGACCCTCTGCTACATCGATCCTGAGTATCAAAGGACCGGGTTGATATCTCCAAAATCCGATGTGTATGCTTTTGGAATGGTGATCTTACAATTATTGACAGCAAAACCAGCTATAGCACTCACTCATGCGGTAGAAACAGCAGTTGATGATGGTAAGCTCGCAGACATATTGGACCCTGAGGCAGGGAATTGGCCACTTCAGGAGACAATGGACTTAGCCCGATTGGGCCTTAGCTGTACTGAACTCCGTCGCAGAGACCGACCAAATTTAGATCATGTGATTCCTGCACTAGAACGATTGAAAGAAGTTGCTGACAGAGCCCAAAGTTCCAGTCTTGGTGTTAAATCAAAACCTCCTGCTCATTTTATTTGCCCAATACTTCAGGTAGTCAAAAAATTCAATATTGACAATATTTGACTATCTATGGTGCAATTGGAAAGTACAGGTGACCTAACTATATCCATTTTGGGCCTTCCTACCGAATTCAAAATCCATCCAAACTAGTCCCTTCATTGGAAAATTGTTAAATTTGCATATAGATCTACTGCGTGGCATCATCAAATTCCAACTAATCAAGCTAATGTTGGCCAATGCTTGTTTAGTTTGATTAGTACATCACAAAATAAGTGCCATGTCACTAGATTCATTAGCAAGGTCAGTGTTTTACAGATGGTACTAGTTTGGTGGACTTCGAAGCATGAAGGATCAAAATGAGAATGAAAAGCTGCAAGCAACACCACCATGAAAATAAGTCTAGGGTTTCATCCTTTAACATTGTGTTCATGGTTTTCAACAGTTACTACTTCTTGCTTTTATAAATTTTGTCCAGTTGATCGGTTGGCTTGAATGATAGTTGATTTTCCATTCTTTGAAGTTGTATGAAATGGTTCGTATGTTTTGTGTCATACAGGATGTGATGGATGATCCTTGTGTTGCTGCGGATGGATATACATATGATCGCAAAGCGATCGAAACATGGCTTCAAGAGAACGACAAATCACCAATGACTAATGTGGAAATTCCTCATAAGAATCTAATCCCTAATTACACACTTCTATCAGCAATCATGGAGTGGAAGTCTGGAGGAAAATGATATCAACTTCAGCCATTGTCAATGCTGGTTTTGACATTAATTTCTACTGTGCTATATGATATTGTGTAATAAAATTTTATGTAGTGCGATTTTGATCTGGCTGTTTTGTTAGCTTAGTGAGGTCTACTCTGAAGTGTAAATAAATTTGTTTTGTTAGTAGATGTACTTGGTTCTTGGTCAAAATTTTGAGAGACAATCTATGTAGCACAGACTGAAAGATAGTGTAGGTGCATCACTTTCTAATTTCCACTTGCTTTTAATCTATAAATACAGAGAGGTAATGTAATTATCTTAAATTTTAAATTACATAAATTTTTTAATTTTTCTCTTAATTGATATGTTATTTAATTGTTTTAGTTCCATGACAAATAAAGAGTAGTGACCTAGTAAAATTTATGCCAGAAGTTAATTTGAAGGTTTAGAATTTGAATAATCTGAAAAGTAAAAATTTGGTTTTATTTTATTTTAAATTTTGAAAGGGTTACCAAACTTCTTGGGTCTTTTATGTAATAATAGAAAAAGTTTGTGCCACTTTGTGTCATTTTCCATTTTGTACGGAATTTTTTTCCCCTTCTTTTCTCGGTCATTTGAGTGACAGAGTAGCGAGAGAGGGAGGGATCAAGTCGGTTCTTCACAGCTCTTCCTCTCTTCCCCGTTGCATCTCCTTCGACCTCACCGTCAGCTGTGTTCTTCCTCGCCGTCGCGTTCCACCGCCGGGAGAGTGCCATCACCGGAGCATTGCCTTGCCCGCCACCCTGTTACTTTTCTTCCACAAGGAATCCAAGTCATGAATCTCAGATATATTTTCACAGTAAATACATCGTTCTTTTTGAGAGAGAAAATGAGAGAGAAACAAAAACCAGAGGAGAGCCTTTTTCTAGGGGGAGAAGTACAATCAGTCACGTACGGAAAAATTAATTACTGCAAATTTTATTATTATCAATACAGTTTATTCAATTATCAATAAATTTTATAATAATTACTTTTTTTAATGTAATGCTCTTTTTTGTGGGGAATGTATATTTTCTCTTCTGAGTATTTAAAATATATGACATGTTAGTTGTAGCTAGCATCATAGATTAATTATTTATTTCTTTTATCCTCTAATTTCTTATATGTCTTGTAATTTCAGCTATTAAACTCTTACTACGTGTTAATTTTGAAATTTTGTGACATATCTCTTTATTCTAGATCTTTATCCCAGTAATTATTATTGTAAAAACAAACATTTCTTCTTTTTATATATTTTTTATTTTCAGTCGGCGTCCCAAACTGTCTTGAAAAATGCAAAGTCAACGAAATTCTCTACAAAATTCTGATTTGATAATAAGCTCCTTAGAAGCTAAGTTAGACACTATACACCATTTGAATCTTCCTACAGCATTAAGTTGTCGTATCTATAAAGTGCCCCCAAAACTTTGAAAAATGAACAAGGAAGCCTGCACTCCTTCTAAGGTTTCCCTTGGCCCATATCACCATGAAGACAAAATATTGGAATCAATGGAAAAGATCAAATTGGTTACGGAATTCCTTGAGGTATTATGTCAAAGCTAAAAGAAACATGAAATGTGAAATAGGACACTGCTATTCAGAAACTATACCCACGATGAGCGTTGAATTTCTAAGCATGATTATAACTGACCCTTGTTTCATCATCAAACACTTTTTTTCAAGAACTGGTTCGTAACCCTTGGTCTAACAAGCCACGGTCAATGGAAAATGTAAAAGGAGATTTGATTTTGCTTGAAAATCAACTACCATTTTTTGTTCTTCAAAGTTTATTTAGAAAATATAAGAAAAGTAAGTTTTAAAATTTTTGAAAAACTCTCAGATGAGTGAGTAATATTCTAAATAATTATTTACAAAGTGTTTATAAAATTTCTTTATTTAAATTTTTATGTTATTTTTTTATAAATTGTATAAATACTCTGCCTAATCCTATTTTTATGATATAGACTATTCTTTTTACTTACCTCACTTTTATATTAATTAGTTCATTATAAATTTTGTTTTATTTTCATTAAGAATTATACTATTGTAAAGGAATATTTAGATCCAGTACATTATTAATCGATCATTTCTTCTAAGAACTTCTGTGGTTTAAATTTTATAATTTATATGATAGTAGTTAATATGGTGATTAGTACATTATTAATCGATCATTTCTTCTAAGAACTTTTGTGATTTAAATTTTATAATTTATATGATAGTAGTTAATATGGTGATTCGTGCATGAAAAAAATTGAAAAGAAAATTTGATAACTGAATATTATATTTTGAAAGAAATTATTTTAAATGAATATTTCAACTCTATATAGGCTTGATTTAATTAGGGGGATTGAGTTCAGAATGCTGGATGCTAACGGTAGTTTTGTTAGCCTTTGACGCGTCATGGTACACCTAGCTAGTAAGGTGCATTGGAGGTGTTAGCTCTGTGTGCTGGCCAACATATGTGGAATAGAAGATGTAATCTTGTGTATATAATCCATGCCTGTTATTCATGAGCGTTATGCTTGCACCTGTTTTTTGTGACATCTTGCCATCTCGAATATGTTACTTACCTTTACGGATTATATGTCCACACTTGTTAATCATTCTGATTAAGTCCCGCTAAAAAAAGGATTTTGAAATTATTTTCTTTAAATTTGATCTCAAAAAGAAAATTGCTATTTTTTACCATATGTGGATTTTATATTAAGTAATATATATATATATATATATATCCTAAGATGTTTAAGTATGTGTAAAAATTTAATAATTTGAAATTTGAAATTGCAATAATTTCATTTGTATTTATGTATTCTTAGTTCATATTATTTGCAATTGATTATTTTAGTAAATTTATAATTGGCTCATTGATTGCTTTCCATTATTTCCTTCAACTATGAATTGAGAAGCTACTCATTGAAAAAATTTTCTTTGGTCTCAGATATTGAAATTGACCCTGCACCTTCTGCTGATCATTGAGAGATACAATTGTTTTTCTTTAAACGGTGGAAGCATGTGTTTGTTACTTTTGATGTAAATATATTTTATGTTATGAAATTGTAACTTAGTGCTTTATGTCTACTATAGTTAAATTATAGTCTTATTTTATTGTTGTGAAATATATTGCTGTGGAGCTAAGCTCCTTTTTGGTTTGGCTGATAAGTTTTGCTTCTATAATAATTTTGAGGGGTCTTAATTATAGAGAAGATTTTGCCGAAATTTCTACAGAATGTTTAAAATTTTACCAACTTTATAAATATATGTGTATATATATATTAGAGATTTTTTGACAAGTAGGCATTATTTACTGATATTTTATTTTTATATCTAGTTAATTAAGACTTATGGAATGTGATGTATCTCATATTTTGTGCCAGTTATACTTTTAATATCGAGGTGTGATAGATAATTATCCAATTTCATTGCCACTATCAATACTCCCTCTTATGTTGTGTGGGTGGTGTGACTCTTAAAGTTTTCATTACCTAGCCATAGTAGTTTTTGCTTGAAATCTTGACAATTAAATGGTCGATATTGATATAATACCAGCCATAATTACCCATCAATGTCTAAAAGAAGTAATTTATTTGATTTTGGCATTAATAGTTGGTGCTTGAATTATCTTGACAATTAAATTTAAGCCAACTAGAGATGATAATGATTGGATAAATGATTAATTAGATTTATAATTTTTATTTTATTGAAATGATTTCTTAAATTCGGATTAGGATTTGATTTTTTTTCGAATAAAAGGCCACAGGAAAATTGTGCTATGTGATATGATATGTTCTATCAACGTACAAGAAATTTATACAATCAAGAGGCAGAGTATCAAGAATATGAACTTCAGAGCTTCCGACAAAAGCTTGGTGAGCCAACCAATCCGCGCATTTAGTTGCTTCTCTTAAAACGTGATCAAAAGTGACCATCTAGTCTCTCATAACAAAATCAAAGATTTTGTTGATGGTTGCAAGGGGATGATTTATAGAGAATTCATTGCTTATTAATGCGAGAGCTTCTGTGATTAGGATTTGATTTGAATACATGTATACTTTTTGAATTGCTAGATTACCCTTTTAATTACTCTAGAATATTTGCATGTAATTATTAGAATTTTTTAAAATATTCTCATTTATAATGCTTTCATTTTTAGGGCTAGGATTAAGGCCTACAAATAGCATTTTAGTATATTTGCTCCTTCTCTCTCTAACTCCATCTCCCTTTGGTTTCTTGTGAAACACAAAATTTTACATAAAATCTCATTTAAACAGTGTTGGAATACAACATATACTACTATTTTAAGCATATAATGGCACAACTTAACGCAATAAAGATAGACAGCCAATCAGAGCCAAGTATTGTTGTGACTTGTTCAAAAATACCCAAAAAAATGTGTACTTTTGTATTCGAAGGTTTTTGGGTGTTTTGAACAAAATTAATAGCTAAAGCTGTGTGATCATCTTAAAATTGTTTTCATTTTATATTTTTATTTTCAAAACACATTATATTTCATTATTAAAAAAAATATAATTAGCTTGATCAATTTCTATCATAAGACATTACCATTAACTTCTTGCAACCATTAATATCAATCTATTTTTTAATTCTAATTTTTTTTTTCAAACTAACATAACCAAACATATTTTTATTTTGTTTTGTTTTGAAAAGCAATTCTAAAAACTGTATTATAAAATAGTTTTTAAAAATAAAGGATATGAATAGAAACCAAACAAGCCATGACCTAGCTAGAGATTCATTGCACGAGCCTTATTAAGTATTAATAATTTATTTTGAGCTTAATTTATTAAGCATTAATTTATTTTATATCTTACAATGTTTCCTTTTCATGTTGCAGGCCATGACCTAGCTTATATTATCCTATAATGTCTCATTTGCACCAAAGGAATGCACAATCTCAACCAAGCTTTTATCAAAAATTCCATGGAAATGTTACTTTTAGGCAACTAGTGCCAAGGCAAAATCTTTCTAAAGATGCAATTATGGTAATTTAATGATAGTTTCTACTGGCAAAAAAAAAAAAACAAAATTGAAGGATGATGATTCTGCAAGAAATGAGCACTCAATTATCTACTTGGAGAGAACACAATACAATACGATTTGAGCAACTTACATATCAAACCAATCAACTTGTTAAATATATGTCTTTGATGTATGGTATGAAGATCCAATATTTCCAAGAATTCCAGGGTTCACATGAAGGACAAGGAAAAGACTTAAATACCACTCTTCATGATGAAGAGAAATTGACCTCAATCTTTGAGCCTTCATTCAATTTGTCTTCACAAGTGAAGGAAGTGGAGCAAATACAAACACAAGTCCAAGAGAAATCTTTTTGAAAAAATGGCAATAAAATTTTTTTAAATTATATAAATGATAATCTGATTCCTTAAAATATCATAATTCTATTGAAGTCCTTAGAAACTTTTATACCAATAAATTTTAAGATGAAAAAAATTATTTTATCCTTATTGAAAATAACAAGTCCAAATAATAATTTTTGTTCTGTGAATCATAAGAATTGAATAAGAAATCACAATTTGTCAAGTCTAATTTCTATCTCACAATAAAAAAAGTCCCCAATCACAAGTTTTGCTTAAGGAAGAATAAAATTTATTCTGTGAATCACAAGAGTTAAACAAAAAATATAACTTATCAATTTTTATTTTTATTATTAAAAAATAAATTCTCAAAATAACAAGTTTAGATCACAACTTTTTTCTAAATAACAACAACTTTTATTAAAAGAATCGTAAGAATTAAATAAGAAATCACAATTTAAATCTTTTTAATTTAAAATTTACTGACACAAAAGTCCCTAAAAAATTTAATAAAATTATAACATTTTGAAGAATTAAATTATCATTTATATAATTTGAAAAAATTTTACTGTCATTTTCCCAACTTTCTTTTTGATTAGGTAATGATTCTTCTATCTTAATTGAGGTTAATTCTTTTGCAATGCTACTTTGTGTAATGAGATAAATGATTATTTATGTGATGGAGATATAGATGAAGGAATTATTATTGAATCACCTTGTATGTTGGAACATGAAAATATTAAGCCCATTACACTTAATAGTAATGTTGTGGAAAAACAAGATATATGCCTTAAATAAACCCTTTAATTTAAATTATTACTTAGCTCAAAATGTTTCAAATTCAAACATATAAACAAGTTGAAAAGATTGGCCTAGCACAGCAATGGAATTTATAATATGCAAAATTTACAAATAAGATCTCAATTATAGGACTTGGCTATAGTTTATTTTTACCCAAAAATCAAGTAAAGGACCGGTTGTTGACGAACGTTGACCAGTCAACTGATCAAAGAAAATGATTATTTTCATAAATTGTAACGTTCATATTTACGAGGCAAACATATGAAATTTATAAATCAAAGATCTAGATTGATAACTCCCAGAATGCCAGTCAAAATTCTAGTCAAAGATGGTAGGCCCAGGGGTGTTTGTGTCATTTTATAGTGACAATTAATCACAACAACCTTGCAAGACTTGGGAGTATTTTCACAGGACTTACTTGAAAGTAATTGCCTTAATAAAGGCCAACCGCCAACCGAGTTTGTTCTTTTTTTTTTTAATATACACATATATATATACATAATTTTTTAAAAATTTTAAATTGAATTACAAATTTCTATAGAGTAAATTTAGTTTTTTTTTCTTCTAAATTTTCATAAAATTATATAATTAAATTAACTTTGAAACTTACAAATATAAATATGTAATCTATTTTACATAATTATTTTATCAATATAAAATTAACAAATCAATGAAGAAAATAAGAAAGCAAACATGGAATCAAGCTCCTAACATGGAACAAAGGAAATAAGTGCAAGACAACGTTTTTTATGTTATAACAGAAACAACTTTTTTCATGAAAATTAAAATAAAAAACAATTTTTTTTTTTTAAAAAAGGACAAGCCAACTTGCTAGTTAGCCTGTTGCTGCAATTGCAAGTTAGGTGAGGCAGGCCATCTCATCCTACCTTTCAACGCTCGTTTGAATTTCAGTTTATATTTAGTAAAAATGTATTTAAAAAATTTAACTATTTATTAAATTTGATAAAAGCACGTTACAATAGGTTGGAGAATTTTCAAACCAATGTAACAATAGGCCTGGTAAGCCTAACCTATTTTCCTGACTCTAACATTAAGGCGTCACGTATAGAGACGAAGATCCAGAAGCATAAATACTAATTCATGCCATCTTTTTTGGACTAGATTATCCACGTTATACTTCCTTCGTTAACTTTTGTGAGATTAGAAATTTAGAAGGACTTCTATTTTTATGTATACCAAACATGAGACTTTTATTTATAAATAATATTTTGTATATAGGTAAAGCATATCAATATATCCAAGATTCTAAACCATAATATTCTGAGTCACCGTGCTTTTATGTATAGGGGTTTCAATGCCATAAAAATAACATGAACAATGATACACTTGCATCTTTACAATCCAGTTAAACAGGAATTAAGGACTAGAAGTTTTAGGGGATGTAGTACATAGGATTGGGAAGTTTGAAGGAGCGAACAGACAATGAATAACCCAACAGGTCACTCCATTGGTCCCCAGAGTTTCCCAGGATTCTGTATCCTTCTTTCTCCATCTCACTCCTCTTCTCTGACTTGTAAGTTATTGCCAGTTTCTCACGTTCATCTGGGCCGCTGGTCATCATATCAACAAAAGATTCAGAATCCAGATTCAAAGTGAAGATTCCAAGCAGGATGTTCCTCAAACTACATTTGATCACATGCACAATACAAAGCTTCTAAGAAGCTCTTGCCATGCAGAATGTGAATGAGATTAAATTAGCAAAGTAACCAACAACAATAACAAGCCTTATCCTACTAGGTAGAATTGACTATATGGATTGCATAACACCATTGTCCTCTATCATCAATTAAGCCTTTGAAAATATTATTAACTAAGAAATCCTGTTTACTAACTTCTATGAGTGTTCTCTTTAGTCTTCCTTTTTTTTTTTTTTTATAGTGCTCAAGAATATCGCCACATGTGAAAGTAGAGACGTCAAAATCAAATACAACAGGAAAAACCCTATGGCACGTGAAACGAGATAGCCCAAAGTCCCAAACTACCTTGCTCTCAATCACAACTTTGTCTCTTACAAATATTTCTCAATCCGGTCATTCATCCATGTTGGCTTGAATATCTTAGGTTACCTGGCACTCTTAACTCACCTTAGATTGCTCACTCCAATGGAGCCACATATTAGATTTTGTACAAATTTTTGGATGGAGATACGATGGAAGAACAACATACTACTTCAATGGTTGAGAGACTAAATTGAAAGAAACCATTTATGGAGAAGGAAACCAGAAACAAGCAATGAATGTCTCACAATAAACCTACGTTCCTAAGCAATTTGTAGAAGCTAGAGGCTGTCATTGTTGACTTTTAAATGCCAGGAACATGCAGAGCAATGATTAGGACGCCAGGAGAATCATATACAATAAGCTACTCAAAAGATGAACATGAGCTTCTAAACAGGGACTCAGGAAGTAGGCTCAAAAGTCAGTCTAATTGATAGTAAAATATATTTATATCATATTGAATCTTCTCCATTGATAACTTATCTTTATCGATTCATGGATTCTGATGCCAATTTTTTTCATTTTGCATTTGTCATATAGGACAAGATTAATGTCTGAATATCAATCCAATTTAACCATATCTTTTACTGTGAAATGACTTATGGAAAACAAAAATGAAAATCTTCATTGCAACAGAACAGAAAATGAATTGCTTAGAAAAATAAATCAACCATTAATTGTAGAGGACTACCAAAAAAATGAAGACCCGTTCAAAATAAATTTCTCAGAGATTGATCCCTTTAATTTCTTTCTTCCTCCTTCCCCAAGTAAATTTATTCACAACAGCCATGTAAACCTAATCTATTAAGCCTACATGAAAGCAAACCATGCAAAATTTGTACAAATCTAGACAATGTTCCTAGTTCCAGTATCTCCGGGGGGAAAAATGCAGGTACTGTTCTATTGCATTGCTCAAAAGCCAGAAGCATGAAAAGGCCAACAAAAGGAGGTACAGGACTATGACTAAGTCATGTTCTGTTTACAACAACTATAATCAATATAATTCAGGAGAGTTTCATAATTTATTTTCTATACTTCCGCTAATTTGTGAATACAAGCAGTCATTTGATTTTCCAGAACATCATCCAACCCCTATTGAGACACTAAAATGATGTTCCAACTTTCAATAATAATGCTGACATGGCATCCACATTTTATTTCACTCATCAACATTGATTAATAGTGCATGCTGTGAAGAAGAAGGGGAATGCGATTGAAGTAGCAGTTTCCATTCATGGTTAGCAATAAGCCTAGAGGTTTTCTGTTAAGGTGCAAAAGCTTCAAACCATATCGAAGACAACTCCATATATAGTCGCCACAGGCCACACTTGTATATAGTGAAATGGACAGTTTCTAAAGAATTATCTAGAAGCAATTCCTCCATGGTTCGGTCAAACATTGATGACGGCTAATGGTGACCCCTCACACCCCTCCCAGCAAAAAAGCGATGCTGAGGAAGCAAATAGAGTGAAGGTTTCAGTTAATGGAGACACATTCCACTCAGCATCATAAGTTAAAGAAGGTGTAATTTATTTTTAAATTTTTCACATTGCCTCTTGCCAATCCAACATGGTCATTGTGACTGACATCTGTCTACGCACGGCTGTTATGTAATAGTATGTTGTTCCTTAAAATACCATTGAAATTAACAAGCACCGCAGGACAGTATATAGAAGACCTTTGACATCTCAAATCTCAAAATACTATTATAAGCAGCGATACAGTAAAATTATCATCATTTCATGTAACTTTACACAAGGACTTGTTTGCATTTCCGTAAATCCTTACTATCAGGTTTCCCAATCAAAACAAGACAAATGTATTGAACCATATACTTGTCATATTTTGTTTGGATAGCCTTGTGATTAATATATGAGCAATTTTTTTTCAAGTGCCAAATTTTTCTCAGTTGAAGATATGTGGAACTGTAGAATTGCGGAAAAATCATGCGGCACCAATTGATAGGATTTGCACAATACATTTTAACTTTGTGATGATTTAAACTTAAGATCCATTTATAGATAAAATGTTGGAAATGAAAATAACAAACTTAAATGAGTTTACCTAAAACATTAAGTACTCAAGGTACAAATTTTGGTGATTTGTAATCAGAAGAGAGCCCAGAACATGCATATACGCAAGAGGCAATTCAAAAGCAAATACAAGTTGAAGAGACTTCAGACGAAAGTAAGATGTCTGACAGTATTTCACAGCATAAACCACAGACTAGTCAAAATTAATTTTAAAAAACATTAGAATTACCGTAATATGAGATCGTGCCAATTTCGAAACCCAGCATTGACTAAGTTATCAATAGTAACGCTTCTATGCGCTTCACTCCTTCCAGTCAGCAATATAACCTTAAAACCCATATTCAAAACGTCTTCATAAAGTTTTAAACTGGGTTCTATTGCAGGTGCCATAGCCATCTCCACCCACCTGTCAAACTCCATATGGTCAAAAAGCTCATACCTGCAAACACATTAAAATGGCTGAAATTCAATCCTACTATAGAATGTATCAGCTGCAAAATTTGAAGCTCCAATATCTGAGAAACCCTACGGATTAGGGGGGAAAATAAAGAGTCATAAATTACCCATATCCATGTGCAGCATAATACGGAAGATTTGAGAGCAGAGTCTCGTCAATGTCAAATATCCACACGTCCTTCCCATCACCATTCAATTTCACACTCTTCGCATAATCCCCTGCTTCCTTAGACACCGTTTCTAGATCAATAGCATAGCCCTTACCCATCATGTAGTCCTTTACATACTCCACACATTCTCGCGGAATCGACTTCCATGGGTTCAAATTATTGGCCTCCGCGGCAAATCTCCAACTCGTGCATCTCAATCCAACCTCATCGTTAATTTTCCTGAAGTGGCCTTCAACATTCTCCGAGTATTCAATAATCAATGGTCTCGGTAGGACGCGGGTATCGACATTTTCCAGAGAAAACGCGACGGAAAACAAAGACAAGATCAGGAAAAGCCGCAAGAAAGTCATGGCGCGAATTAATGATGAAATGAAATTCTGGGTATCCGCAGAACCAATAGAAATTAGAGAGAGAAACAACAAAATTCTTTGCTTCCTCTGTAGGTCTCACCGAAAAGGTAATTAATTAACACAAGGAATAAGAAACTGAGGATATACGTTTCTTTCAGATGCTCATGACGACGACGACAACGACGCAGAAAGAGGCCCTGTGAAACAGTAACCTTCTTTCTGCGAGAAGGACGACGACGGCAAGGAAATGTGGAGCTAAGCAAAGACAGAGCTTCTGCAGTGCGCGAACGAATCGGATTCCTTGTTGTGGATATTCGGTATGAGATTTGATAACAAGAACAAGTTGGTCGGTTCGCTGTTTTATACCGCGAAGAAGAAAGCCAACACGGGTCCTGCGTGCGAGAATGATGGAACGTATTGAATTGGCCCCCACATACATGACGTGGACCAATTAGCTATTATTGCCTTTTGTCCTTCATTTGTGAATCAATCAATCAATCCATTTTTTTTTTACGCACGTGATTAGTAACTGAAAGAGAAACGCTTTTATAGCATGATCCCTGTAATATTTATTTATCTATCCGATTTTTTTATTTATCTTTTTTTTATTTAATTTTTTTTTAAATTGGGATGTATTTTTAATTATCTAACTTTATATAAAATTTTAATTTAATTCTTTAATTTTATAAATTATTTGTTAGTTCTTTAATATTAACATCACTACTTTTAAATAATTATTTTTTATATCAATTATTATTATTTTTTAAAAAATTAAAATTAATATGTCAAAATTTAAAAATATTTTGATAATATTTAAAAGTTTAATGTAAAAATTTATTGGGATCAAATTAATAGTGTTAAAATTAAAATATTAAAAAAATAATTTATAAAGTTAAGGACCAATTAGCTATTATTGCCTTTGTCCTTCATTTGTGAATCAATCAATCAATCCACTTTTTTTTTTTTACGCACGTGATTAGTAACTGAAAAGAGAAACGCTTTTATTGCATGATACCTGTGATATTTATTTATCTATCCGATTTTTATATTCATCTTTTTTTTTTTGGAACAAATATTCATCTTTTTTTTATTTATTTTTTTTTAAGTTGGGATGTATTTTTAATTATCTAACTTTATATAAAATTTTATTTTAATTATTTTAATTTTATAAATTATTTGTTAGTTCTTTAATATTAACATCATTAATTTTACATAATTATTTTTTATATCAATTATTATTATTTTTTTAAAAAATTAAAATTAATATGTCAAAATTTAAAAATATTTTGATAATATTTAAAAGTTCAATGTAAAAATTTATTGGGATCAAACTAATAGTGTTAAAGTTAAAATATTAAAAAGATAATTTATAAAGTTAAGGGACTAACATGAAATGTTATGCAAAGTTAAACAACTAAATATATATTTTTACCTTTTTTATTTAGAATAAAAATATTTTATCAATCTAAATTTAAATATTTAAGTAAGTTAAATTTTGAGGGAAAATGATAAAAAATCCTTTTCAATTAACAATTTGATCTCTCAAAATGTCATAATTCTAATAAAATTGTTAGGGATCTTTGTGTCAATAAATTTTAAAGTTAAAATATCATTTTACCCTTACTAAAAATAACAAGCCCTAATCATAATTTTTGTTTAGTAAATCATAAAATTTGAACAAGAAATCATAAATAGTCAAGTATAATTTCTATTTTTGAAAAATAAAACCTAATTAAAATTTTTTCTTAAGGAATAACAACTTTTATTTTGTAAATTATAAGAGTTAAAACAAAAATCAAGATTTTTTAAGTGTAATTTCTATTATTAAAAAATAAGTTTTTAAAATAACAAACCCCATTTATAATTTTTATTTAAAGAATCACAATTTTTATTCAAAGACTCGTAAAAATCAAACAAAAAATCACAACTTATCAATAAAGATAACATAGTCTTTTTTAATTTAAAAATTATTGATAAAGAGGTTCTTGAGAATTTTAGTTGAATTATAGCATTTCAAGGGATCAGATTGTTGTTTATATAATTTAGAAAAATTTATTATTATTTTCCATTTAAATTAGGGAGAATTTGTGAAAAATACCAAGTTGAATGTAAGAACCAAACTAAATATTTTATACATTAAACAATCAAAACAAATTATTGTAATGTCCTTTTATTTAAACCAACGAAATTAAAAAAAAAAAAAGCTTGTTCAACACATACATCCTAAGCCAAACCTCTTGCACCTTAAACTAGATCCATGGTACCTAAGCCAGAAGCTTTACATCTTAAGCCAAAGCATGTGCATCCTAAGCTAAAAGTCTTGTATCCTAAGTTAGATCCCTTACATTCAAAGTCAAAAGTCTTGCTCCCTAAGCTAGATTCCTTGTATCTAAGACAAAAGCCTTATACCCTAAGTCAGATCCCTTGTACCCAAGCTAATGTAGGATAGGGAGGCACAGCGAAAGATTAAAATTTTATAGTCTCTATTCTGATATGGATCGAACGAACTCGTTTAAGTCAAGGTGGATAGAAGAGTTACCTTTTTAATTCTTTGAAGTTGACACGTGTTTGGATCTCAAAAGTTGATAACGTAAATCTGCTCCCTATATTAGTATCCACACAAACAGCTCTCTAACTTGAACAGCATACTAATGCTCTCAGTGTCCATTCTTCTTTGAATGTTAATTTTCCTTTCTATAAGGTGTTTCGTGGCTTTCAAAGTGTTTTTTACCGTTAGAACTTTTCTAACTCTCTCTATGCCTTCATAAAGACATCCCTATCTATATATAGTATATAGATAATGATTTTTATCTTTCACTTAAAAGCTCATAAAAATTTAATTAAATTTATTTCATAAATTTAATCCATAATATCATATCTAATTCAAATTTATCTTATAAATTTAAATTATAAAACTAACATGATATTCTCTTTTATCATGTTAGTTAATAAATTTAATCTATCATATAAAATTAAATTTAAAACTATCATAATATAATATATATATATAATATATCACATATACATATTATATATATATATATATGAATATATATACATATATATTTTGAAATATATATATATTATCTATATTTAATTTTATATATCATATACATATATCATATATATATATATATTTGAGATATATATATATATATATGCATATATATATATATATATTTCAAATATATATATAACTATATTTTGAATTTTATATTTCACATAAATATATATAAATATTTATCAAACAAATATTCACACACACACACACACACACACACACACACACACACACACACACACACACACACATATATAAATAATTCATTCACCCTATATTACATTCATTAAATCTAGACATATTTCAGATTCAACGAACTTGAACATTATAACTCGAGTTGGGCCGTTCTTTGTGTAAGACCCTGTAGGCTCATATGAAATTAGTAGTAGGCTAATTACACTATTAGCCCACAAGTTACAAGTGGCATCTAGCAACAATTACAACTACCTAATTCATATAGGGATTGATGATCCAATGTAACTTATCATGCAATCATATCACATCTCTTTTGTCATACGATATTTCGATCAAGTATAAGACATGGAATTATCATTCTCCTTTACCTAACCATTACTTTCTCGATCTCTGAGTAAACTGATAGCAGCAATGGAAAAACTATTTTATTATAGTATGGTCATATATTTTCTCAGTCTTACTCATCGAGGGGCCTAGTAATATCTCTCAATTAATGTGAGGGACAACTTCTATCTTGACTACTCATATTCCTCTGCATGAATATCATTAAACTCAATCATAGCCTTTATAATCACTCGATGAAAGGTGACTTTTGACTAGGTCAAAGTTCAGTGGTCATCATGTAGAAATCCATGATGATCTCAGACGAAAAAGTTTAGTAATATAGTTACATATAAGATAAACTTATAACTTATACCGTGTAGCTTTTTCATAGCGAATTGGTCCAGCACCTTGTACTCTTTTAAGTGCCTATGACTTTAATTTATATCTCTGTAATTAATTAAAGTCATACCAGTCTTGTTTCATATATGATCCTTCAAAGATAATTGACCAAGGACATTTAGGACAATCATTATAGTTTGTCTAGGGATACATATCATATTGAACATGCAATTGTTATGATAACAAAAGAGAAATTCATTAAATAATAATGTGCATAGTATAATGATTGGCCTTAGGACACAATTTTCAGCAGCTAGAAGCCTTGCATCCTAAGTAAGATCACGTGACCAAAATGCCCTTTTATGTTAACTAAAAAGAAATTAAGAAAAAAGCACAAAAATTGATCACTAAAGCTCCGACGACCTCTGACCACTCCTCCAACAATTGATGGCGCACTTGCTAGAGCTTTAGGTGGTAAGTGAAAGGTTGCCAAAAAGTGTTGTTGAAAAAATTCAACACTCCTTAATTACATGTAATCATCAAAGATTACATGTAAATTCAATAACCAAAGGTGCACAAATTTTGGCTTAGGGTGCAAAATTTATTACTTGGGTGCAAAGTTTCTAACTTAAGTGCAAGGGATCTGGTATAGGTGCAAAACTTCTAGCTTGAGGTGCACATGTTAAACAAGCAACCTTTTTTTTTTCTTAATTTCATTGCTTTGAACATAAGGGTATTTCAATAATTTATTCATATTGTTTAATAAATAAAATATTTAGTTTGGTCCTTGAATTCAACTTGTTTTTTTTACCAATTCTCTCTTTCAGTTATCTGCCAAACCATGACAGGATTAATAAAGAATACTTATTATTGATTCTTGCATTAAATTAGATGGTGAAAGAGTGTTTACTAAGTCTACTAATTAGTAGTAATTACCTTCTCTCTTTCAAATTATAAGATATTTTTAATTAACTTTTACTTTTATTTACCTTTTAAAATAGCAGTTAACTTCCTTAAATACTATCTACTCTTTACATATTTACTCTCATTTAACAAGATAACTTAATCACAAATAATACTCTTGTCATCCTAGATTATAAGATACTTTTAAACAAAACTATATATACTAATAAAAATTATTAAATACAATTTATACCCTAACTTTTTTAAGATACTCTTCATTTAATATTACATTTGTGAAAGAATATTAAAGAGAGAGAATATATGGAAAGTGCAATATTAAAAATGCATCATTAATTGAATCTTATTCTTGTTAAAGTATTTTATTTTTTAGGATTCTAAATTTTTCCCAAAAGTATCTTATAATTTGAAATGTGGGTAGTATAAAATTTTCATCAAGTTCAAATATTCATTAAAGACATTTTTTTTAAAAAAAATTATTAATTATTCCTAAAA